ATTAAAATATCATCTTATGTTCCATATCGAGCATTCGATTTACATCGGAACATTCACAACATGTTTCGGTTTATCAAACCGTCATCAGGTGTAAATTATAAACTTTTAAACTCAAATTACAATTATTTATATTTTTTACAATTTTATAAATTTATCATCTTTCTCATTATATTTTCTGGAAGTTGTGTCTAGATATTATCAATATAACACTATTGTTGAGGTGGTGTTATTGATGTTTATCTAGACACAACTTGCAGAAAATATACTGAGAAAGATGATAAAATTATAAAATTGTAAAAACTATAAATAATTGTAATTTGAGTTTAAAAGTTAAATCAATGGATAGTCAATTACATCCGTTCCCAGCACCCAAACATTGTTAAGTAATATAATGATATTACATTTAAAGCTCTGAAATTACGTAAATAAAATAAAAGGAATATAAAAAAATATATATTTTATACACTTATAATCGACGATGGCGTGATGAAGCGGGGTTAGTTCTCTAACGAAGTCCCTAGTTGAGGATCGTCATGTTTTTTTTAAAAAAAGGTATGTAGTGTGGACTGTCGTGATTTCTTCTTTCTTTATTTTAAAATTTCAGGATAAGGCATCATGGTCTCAATTACATAAGAGCAAACTCGCATATGCAAATTTTGCATTTTACAAACAGCTTTTGCTGATTCATCGATTTCATTGGAGCAAATTAGCTTTAACTAAACATACGTAATTGCAGAAATGACTGTATTTATATTTTTTATTCAAAATCAGATATGTAAAAAATACGATTTAGTATAGGCAGTACGAGAAACATAATAAAAGATATAAATAACAGTAAAATATATTTAATTCACTTTTTGACTTCCAGGTTTCATAATCGGCGTTATTCTGAATCGGCGCAAATCGAGAACTACCTGTACCAGTTTTCTAAAAATGGCTCACTGTTCAAAAATAATGCTACAGAACATAATATATAGATCTCATTCTGATCTAATTTTAATTTGAAACATTTTTAATACAATAAATATTTAATTAAATACAAAGTAAAACAAATTATGACTATGTAACGTGATATCTGTAGTGTGAAATTTCATGCAATGGATCTCTAATGAATGGACATCTAGGTCAGTGGCGTACTACAAAATTACTATGAATAATCAGCCTCACGAAACAAAGTCTTTCTTGATAAGCTAATAGTTGGTTAGCTAGTAAAGAAATCCCCTGTCATTTATGAAAACGGTGTAACTTTCATTCATTAATTTATCTTAAGCCCCATATTATACAGGGTGATTCTAAAAGGACATTACAAATTTGAAAGTGTATAGAAATTTATTCATAAGGCATACAGAATCGGGTGAGGTGTCATTTTGTAGCAAAACAAATAAAGGTTTGCCTCAAACAGTCATTTTGGTTCGATGTGATTGTCATTGGTGATACGGCCAGACATCCCACCTGAAATATAATTTCTTGCCAAATACAATCCAGCATATCCGGTGTCACTTCTGCAACTGCGGCAGTGATTCAAGCTTTGAGCTCAGTGAGACTGGCAGGTAAGGGTGGAACAAACACAAGATATTTAATGAAACCCCATAAGAAAAAATCGAGAGGTGTCAAATCTGGAGAACGAGGTGGCCATGCTATCGGCCCTGTTCGACCAATCCACCGACCTGGGAAACGGTTGTTGAGGAAATCCCGGACTTCTGTGAGGCAGTGAGGCGGTGCGCCGTCTTGCTTGAAGTGAATGCGTCCTTCTTGGTCAACTTCGTCTAACTGCGGTATGAGAAGATTTTCGAGCATATCCAGATACACGATACCGTTGATGGTTCTCTCATGGAAAAAGAACGAGTCGTACACTTTAACTTTGCTAAGGGCACAAAACACATTCACCTTTGGGCTGTCACGAACATGTTCCAGAAATGCACGAGGATTTTCGCTGCCCCAAATCCTGCAGTTGCAGGTGTTCGCCTTACCACTGACATGAAATGTCGATTCATCACTAAAGATTATGTAGTCCAGTAATGTTTCGTCTTCCCCTATCTGATGCAACATTTCTGCACAGAATTCCTAACGAGTCACTTTATCTTGCATAATGGTAAATCTGTATGGTTTTAAGTGCAAACGTTTTCGTAACACGCGCCAAACGGTCGGTTGTGGAATGCCAGTCTCACGAGACGCACGTCGCGTTGATTTCGCAGGACTACGGACAAAGCTCTCCCTCACTCGTTCCACGACAGCATCAGAAACACGCGGGCGATTTGTTTTGCTACAAAATGACACCTCAACCGATTCTGTAAGCTTTCTGATTAAATTTCTACACACTTTCAATCTTGTAAAGTCCTTTTAGAATCACCCTGTATAATCGTCAAATAAAAACACTATTAAAAGATTAAAAACTTATCTTAGTAAAACAGTACTGCGAAATCCACCAGCAATAATTGTAAGCACGCCACGAGGTCCACTTCCGAGCTCAACGAATTTCATTTGTTTAAAAAAACATTTCTTGTTGTCATTAAAAATCGATCTGTAGAGCAAAACATGAACTAAGGTATAAACTATCTGATGCAGCCCTGTGTTGCCATCTGGGAGTCTTGTATGTAATTGAAACTTCAGATTTAGTAGATAACGACGGATCTGCCGAATTCGTGGCTAATAGCTACTGCTTCGGCCGGCTGGTATGCAAAGGGTTAAATGCTGCAGAGACAGCTCGTAAGAATGAAGTCATTACTGCAGTTACAGAGCCATAAAACCCTTCGTCTCCAACCTCTGGACTTATCCATTTTCAAACCTTTAGGGCCAGCGCACACGTAAGACTTAACCGTCGGCTGACTGTTCTGTCGTCGGCTGAAGCATACGACCCATAAACGACACGACAGTTCAGTCCATGAGCATGCGTACACGTACGACTAAACACTCGTTCTTTTGCTCTCTTTTGTTCCACATTCTTCGCTCTATGCTCGCCGAGTACAGAAGTCAGGAATGTTGCAAGAAGAGAATATCGAAGAATTAATTGAAGGTGTCTTTATGACAAAAAATTAAAAGATTATGCAAACATCAATGTTAAAAGAGTACTTTGGCAAGAGATTTGTTCAGTTGTGCCAGTCTTTCTTTAGGTGAAATAGCGAGCAGCAATAATAGAACTTCATCAAAACTTTGTGTACTCATGCGAAAATATGAAAAGAATTTTGCATGATAATTCCGTAATGTTTTATACATAGTATGGAATTTTCCTTTGAACAGTCTCTCGCTGTATAATGGATGCACCCAGTAATTCCTTTTCCTCCTTTTCTTGAGGCGAATCACAGGTGCACATACTATAGCAGTTTCAACAAAATCCATGTTTGACAATCGTCTACTGTCTGCAAATGCTCACACGAAATGAAAGGCAGAACGACTGAAAAGTCGTTCGTCTGCGCGCTTTCATATAATTCGAAGGGCCAACGACAGTTGGTAGACAGAAAAGTCCGGGGTTGTCGGTAGAGGTAACCGACTGCCAGTCGTGTCGCTGTCGTGTCGTAACAGTGTGCGCATCTCCATATGTTCTTAAGGGCTTTGTGCGAACGACGAAACAGTCGTCTGACTGTTTGTCTTACGTGTGCGGTAGCCCTTAGGAACTTTCTACGACCAGGCAATCAAAAAATGGCAACTTTCTAATCCTGGTCAAAGCGTTAGTTGTTTCACCTGCAGTGGGGAAAAATGATATGACCATCAGGAGAGCCATTGTTTGATCGAAATAATGCACAAACTAGAGTTGTTGAACCTGGCACTTGGAGAGCAGAAGGGATGCCTGATGAAAGCATGTCACTCGGTATGTTGGAACAAACAACTATTCCCGCAATGCCAAAGAGATACGTGACGAGTACAGAAGCTATTTCGTATCACCAGCAGTGACATGTTTCCATCAGGCATCCCTTCTGCTCTCCAAGTGCCAGGTTCAACAACTCCAGTTTGTGCATTATGTCGATCAAACATGTTATCCGGTGGTCTGGTGGATTTTTTTGACATCAGGTAGTTGTGGAGGAAACATGCAGCCAATACGACACAAACTACCCGGTCTGGTTTCAGCAGAAGTGGTTTCCCTAACACTCGGAAAACTGCAGACATTACGCAAAATGTATTTTCCACGATTTTGCGGGCACTCGTAAATCATAAGTTAAATACTCTGTGCGTTACATTCCAGTTCTCTGTATTTCTGGCGTACGGTTTCATTAGGTTTGGCCGCAACGGAAAAGCTTCATCCTCTATTACTACAGGATGCAGCGACATCACTCGACCTGATAATGGAACTGCAGGAACAATTCGCCACAGTTGACGTTCAAGGTATCCGGGTATGCCAGAGGCCGCGAAAACAACATCGTCAGATACTCTCCCATTGCATCCAATGTTAACAGCAAGAAACGAGTACTGAGCATCAACAGCAGCCATCAAGACGGTACTGTGGTACGATTTGTAGTTGAAGAAGTAGCTGCCGCTGTTTGATGGAGCTTGAATAGTTACGTGTTTGCCATCCACAGAACCTGCACATCCAGGGAAATGCCACTTTTCTGCAAACACGTCGTAGACGTGTTGCCAATCCTGAACAGCATTTGGAGCCTGCAACAAATGCATGTACAATTTTTGTCTGCATTGAGAGAAACATTATAGCTAACACGACATTATGAAATTATATTCACACTGAAATCGAGAACTGTTGTATACTATGAGAGCGCTCGGCGACTCCTGGTGTTGGAGAAGGGGACGGTTGTAATACCAAAGATCCCCGATTCAATTCCTAGTGTATAATGTGTGGTAGCAGAACATTCTCTACAAGCTTTCCATGTAGAACACACCTTTCTCCTCTATCTTCTGATGTGATTTCAGATGGATGATTTACCCATTAAAGAAGACATAAGCCAGAACGACACTGCACATTCTGATTCATACTTCCCAACACCTTCGTCAGCCCCAACCTGTTGCCAACACGGCAAGCAAAGCGCAGAACCATGCGCATATTACTAGATACGTCAGCAGCAGACGATGGGCTATCCACGTCCCCAGCATCACCAGTTTCGTCCTTTTCTCCTGCCGCATTGTCACTGGCTTCAGGAACACCGTTACCAAGTGCACAAGGTGCACTCGAGTCTTACAAAGACATCCGAATATACATTACTCATCTATATACTTATATATGTATGTGTTATATTAATCAATAAATGTTATTTTGTATCACATAGCAAATAATAAACTCTAAACAGCATTTATGTTTAGCTTCCATTGTTTGTTGCACTTACCTTTAGTATCCCTAGTTTCGTCATTGCATTTGTAATTACTTTGCACACTTCTGTTACTATACCACTGATTGTGTATTTACTTAGGTATTTGAAACAAGTATCTCAGACTTGCATAAGAATAACCTAAAAGTAAATAAATAAAAAAAAACTTTTAAAAATGTATCGATTATTATATAACATATTCTGCTACTGAAATATACTTATTCTTCATACACACCTGTTGGCAAGAAACGTAATATGACCAACAGCCTTTCCTGCGCGCTGATGGCTCTCCTCATTGTCGTATCTTTTTCCCCACTGCAGATCCTATCCATCCATCCCACACGCGACATGTAGAGACATTTTTCGCTCTGTTGGGAGAACCTCACATGCCGACAGTAGCAACATTCTCTCAACGTCTAAACATCCTCCGATACCTCTCTCCGTATTACATGACTTGAGACCGACTGGAAGTCTAGCTCGCCATTAAAAACTCAAGAATACTGTGTTTACTTTCGCACATGGTGTCCTCAGGTGTATATGAGATTAGGTCATTTAGCAGGGAGTTGTCCATGTCATCCAAGCCGGCCACGTTCCCAAGGGAGCCGAGATCTTCTACAGCCACATCCTTTGGCACTGGGTTCAGGAAATCTGGAACAATATTTTTTTGCCGGGTGTGGGGAGGCAATCGCGCCCAAATGAGAGACAGTTTCTGTCGAAGTAATTTCAAACTTCAATAACTCGGCTAAAAAAAACATAGCGCCGCCATCTTAGTCTCGTTTTAAAGAGCAAGGATGACAGTTTGTGCCAGTACCGCTCCGACATTCGTGGCGGAAGGACGTCGCGAACTGCGCACGCGCAAAGTGAACCCACGATTTTCGACTTTCCGGATTCGACACGTGTCCATAAACGGGATCATATCTCAGAGACTAATTATACGATCCGAGTGAACCAAGTTTTGTTTTGAAGAGGAGTGTATATGTTACAACTCATCCTGGCCTCCAAGTGTGTATCTCAAAAACTCAAAAAGATACGAGGCTGTGAATTTGAAAAAGTTTGAAAATTTCCCGATTTTCTTAAAATGTCGCGATATATGAGGGCAAAGTA